TACTCCAGACTTCTTCAGATAAGCCTTCCTCAAAATGTACTGATGGACTACGGTTAATCATATAAGCTGTAGTGTTTACTATTTCAGCTTAAAACTGTTTTGGCAAGCCTGCATGAATCCTCATGCTTCTAGCACATTTTGTGATTGTTCTGTTCATGTGCTAAGCCACACCATTCTATCGCGGTGTCCTTAGAACATTGAACTCACAGAAATTCATAAACTTTTGATCACGATACTTGCCACCATTATTTGATCTAAGACATTTCAACTTCAAGTCTGTCTCATTTTCTACCATAGCTTTCCAATTTCTAAAGAATTTAAAACATCAAATTTTTGCTTTAATAAATAAACACATACATTCCTAGTGTGATCATCAATGAACGTGATAAAATAACGAGAACCTTCAATGGACGGAACTTGAGTAGAACCTCATACATCAGTATGCACTAACTCCAGTATCTTTGATTTCACCACTGACCTGCTCTTAAGGAAAGAAACTTTCTTTTGCTTTCCATAAATATAGTCTTCATAGAAATCCTGATCAACTGATTTTAAACCTTGAAACTTATTTTTAGAAAATAGGGACTTCATATCTTTCTCGTTCATATGGCTGAGCCTACGGTGCTACAGACCTGCATCCGTCATGGTTCGAGTCACATCAATGAAATCAGTCATTTCATTGATCAGATAAATGGTGTCTTCAATGATGCCCTGAGCTATCACTAATGCCCCTTGGTCACCTTCCACGAATCACTTGTGAAAGTAGTCATGAGTCCTAACTTTACCAGTTGACTCACAGAGATGAGATTTCTCTTCAAACTTGGAACATATCTAACTTCAGTAAACTTCCAAACTGTATAATTTAGTAATATGATATCAACATCACCCTTTTTGTATGATACCACATGTCTTATTATATCCCAAATAAACATTCCATAGATCACTCTCAGTGTAGTTCTTAAATACCTCTTTATTGAGGCAAGCATGAAAAGAGACACCTAAATTTACCATCCAAGATTCAGTGTTGACTATGGATAACACCACCGGGTCATTTTGGATATCATCAGTGGAGACATTTGTAGAAAGACTCCTTTCTTGTCATCCACCACCAGTTTTCCTTGGAGCTTTGTAGTCCTTGAAATGCCACTTCTTACCTCAATTTCAACATTCACCTCTACTTGACTTGAGTTTTCCTCTCTTGGACTTGGATCTTCCTCTACTTGTATTCCTGCCCATGATGTCATCGAAGTTCAACTTCGAAGCCCCTGAAAAATTACTCACCACCATTATCAAACCATCCCAGCTGTTCGACAGTGAAGATAGTATCACCAACGTTCTGATCTTATCATCAAACTTGATCCCTACATAACACAACTAGCTTGTCACAGTGTTGAAATTATTGAGATGTTTTGCCACTGAATTGTCTTTCACCAGCTTCATGTTGAATAATTTCTTCATTAGAAAAATCTTATTGGAAGTAGAAGTTTTTTCATACATCTTTGTCAGTGCCACCATGAGATCCAATATGATTTATTTTATTTATAATGTTGAACGCAAAAGATCATGAAATTGACAATCGGATAAAAACCAATGTTGTTTGATCCAACACTTCTCATTCACTTATAGGCATAGACTCAGATTTCCTTGTAATTCCTTACAGTGACATGTATAACTTTTTCTGATACAACAAATCCTCTACTTGCATCTTCCAGAATCGGCAGTGTGTCCCATTAAACTTCTCCACTTTGAACCTTACTTCTTTGGTCATTTCTCCCACTTAAATCGAGTTTTGCTCTTATACTAATTTGATAGGAATAACGGGAACAATTCCCAACTTTACCAAGACTGAGGATCAATTAGAAACTAAACCATACCACAGAATAACAGTATCACACAAGATTGGAGAAAACCAGAACAAAAACTCAATGGAAGCACACTCAAAGCAACCATAAAAGCGCACTAAAATTTTTCGTGGATAAACTTTAAAATGGGAAAAAATCATGGAGCCACACCTCCAGAAATTTCATTATGAAATTCAGAAAGTTTTTACAAAGAAAGGAAACTTATAAGACTCCAAAACTACTCTAATCTGACGCGAAAAATGCATGTTGAGATCACATAAATCCTCTTCGACACTTCTCTCTCACCAAGAACTTGTCAAAGAAACTTAGCGCCGGAACTCCATCTTACGCCGCTCAACTTCGGGATTAAAAATCAAAAATCTTAGTAACAACACTGGGCGCTTGGGCACCCAAACTTCGAAAATAAAAGATTGTGCCCAGCAACTTGGGCACTTGAGCACAGGCTTCGTAACATGCGGGCAAAAACTTGGGAGCTTGGGTGCCCGAGGGGGTCGCAAAGGCGCCCCCTTCTTTTAATTTGCCCCAAAGTGGGCGCTTGAGCGCCCACATTCGGGTGCTTTGGCTCCACAAACCCAACAGGGTATGTTTCATGGAAAAAATAATAATTCAACATTATAATTGACAAATATAGAGTGCAGTGGGTGCAACTTGTTTTAATTAGTTAAGCATTTTACAAAATCTATTTGCATTGGATTTGAATACATCTATTTTCAACTTCTTTGCATTGGCGCTTCTTTAAAAGAAACTCATTTGCACGAGATTTATTGGCTATTTGTGCAAATATGGAGTTCTTTGCTTATGAAGGATGAAGCAATAGCCTACGACTGGAGAGGCAGTGATCAACTGATCATTTTAATTTTTGTCTAATAAATTGAATGAATGCACGTACAAGTTGCAGTATTGTCTTCTCTAACACAGTTAGTCTTAAGGATATGGTACTCGAATTGTTAGACACATTAGAGGTGGTTGGAGGCTCGTATAATAGCCTCTGATCAATCCTTTTAAAAAAATTAATATATATAAGATTTAAAATTTGATATTTACACTTATAACATTTTTTTTTTCATAAAATTATTAATGAAAAAGTCTTTCATTCTAAAATTTTATAGTTTTTTTATATGATGTTAAAATTTTGAATGTGATGCATCTAAATATGAAAATATAGGCGTTAGAAATGCAAATACATAAGAATTGTGATATATATGTAAATGCGTCTTTAAATATCATGATTTTAATGAAAATTGTATAAGAATATGTTGTTCTTCACATTTTTATCCTTTTATGTAGTCAATTTAAAAAGGTTTAATAAACTTTTTAACCGGTTTGTAAAGACATAATGAACACCCTCTAAACACGCATTTTAATTAAAGCACATTTTATTGATGATCGATATGGGTCATTAAGTACATGACTAGACGGCACCGACCTAAGCATCAAGTCCTTTAATGGGATGAGCATATTACACCACTTACGTCAAGGTTGGATATTAAATAACATTTATTATGATGGCCGTTTTCTAATTTTGAATAATGTTTCTGTAAACATTGCAATGTAAAAAAAAAAAAAAAAAAAAAATCTTTTATAGATTAAGCGGTAGATTTAAAGACTGATTAAGATTACTATTAAGGGGAAAATAGAATTAAATGCTACAAATATGTTTATTGCGGCATATTAATGGCTCGTTTGGGGTAGCTTATAAGTGTGGAAACGCTGCCGTACCGTTTGATTCGCACGTTTCGCTAACTTATCTGAAACGCCGTTCAACTTTTTACCGCAGGCTGAATCCCGCGGCCAGCCTGCGGGCGGGCCGCACTTTAGGATAAACAGTTTATCCTGAAATATACAAGCTGTCCCAAACTGATATGTTAAGAAGTCTTGAGCAATGGTTAAACTGTTTTTTGTAGTGTATTATAATTGATAAGATGAGATTATTGGAGGATTATAAAAATTTATCGTCCATAGTGATCGTGTTTATTGGCACTCAATTAGTGAAGTTATTTGCGTCGATACTTATCAAGGGTGATGGATAGTTAGCTTTAAGGTTATTTATGTTGTAGTATGATGTTGTCGATGTTCAATTATCATATTGGAATTCGTGTGATGAGAGGAGAAAATGAAATAGATTTCAAATAGGCGTCGAGAAGATTTATATATCTCGATGTAACTTTTGATTGTTAAATTTGTGTGAATAACCGAGGGAGTTCATCTTTAAATTATGCTCAACGAATGATGATTGAAATATTGTCATTTGGGCATGGATATATGCCACTTCATTGAGTGGAATTGTTCATAAATAGGTAGGTTGTGGAGCTCACATTTACTAGAATGTTCTTCTCAAAATTAATTAAGTCTCTATTCTTCACATATAGGGGAAGGAGAAGAAAAGAGTGAGCTGACAACTAAAACATAATTGAAGCGAAAAGTGCATGTAAACAACCACCAACCATTGTTGCAACAAACTACGACTATTGTAGCCATCAACTTCGACTGTTATAACCACAAAGTATAGTAGTTGTAGCCTAATTATAACTGTTGCAAACTGTTGCAACCAAATTATTACAAGATAGTCGTGATTATTGAAATTTATAATCGCATCTTTCCTAATTCAGGAGAATAGCCAGATTATGTAATTTTGTTCATTTTCAGGGTATTCAAAGTACAAAGAAATGTATGACACTATACCAAATGCATGAAAATAATCTATTTCATTTTTACATTTGATATGAAAGATTTGTGTGGCATAAATATAAATAAAATTTAGCTACTCCATCTGTAAATAATTAAGAAGAGCGTGGTGTGCATGTAAAAATCCCCACAAGCAAAAATAAAACTCAAGGCCGTACCAATCTTTGTCAACCCTTCACCCCACACGTGATTCCCCGCTCCCCTCAACTGAACCTCACTCGGAGCTTATCGCCCACCGATACAAAATCCTCGCCGTCCATCCAAATCAATCCAACGGCTCATTCCCACTTACCATTGTCGGAAACTTCCCAGCCAAGACCCCTGCCCCACCCACGTGCCAACTTCCGCTCGTGTCAGATCATTAAAAGCTGCCGCCCAAACAGTCCGGCGAGAAATATAATACAAAAAATAAAATTAAAACAAAAAATCCCGCCGCCCACCCACCACGCCCATCACACGTGCGAACCTAAACCGCAATCCCCGGTCAACTCCGCCCCTTTTGACCGCCCCCACACGCGTGCACCGTCTCCAGTACTCCTCGCTGCCCGCCTAACGTGTCCACTCAACCCCCACCCCCCGTGGTCCCCACGTCCGTATATAGCAGGTCGGGCGGCGGCTTTTAATATAAATGGCGTTTGCCCGCTAAACATTAATTATTTAATTAAATTCCTCAGCCAATCGGAATCCGCCATTTCATTAGCCGCCAAGCGAGCGAGGGCAATTCCGTCATTTATCTTTTAAAACGACGACGCGTGCGATTGCGTGATTGATAGCGGCGAGCCGCGCGGGAACATAAATGGGGTCGATAAATCGAAACCCGGCCCCACCCCTCTTTAGCCACCGCTGCTCCGCCGGTTAATCGCACCTCATTTAAAGCTGTCATTTAGGTAACTTGTGTAATTTCTTAAAAGATTCGAGGGCAGTCCGTCCGTCCTAAATTTCATATGCCGAAGCTCAGTGTGTGTGCTCACTCGCGAGCCATGCTATCGCATCATCAAATCCGATCGATAATCGGCGATTAATTTGTACATAAAACACCACCATCGGTGGATAGATTACTCTGTTAAAATACGGGAAAATTTGCAGGAAACAAAAAAAAAAGGGAAGGAAGCAGAAGATCGGAGAAAAACCGAAAGTGGTTTTGGATCTCAAAAGAGAGGCGGCGGGAGATTCAGATCGAATCCCAAAGGCTTCTTAACAATCCGTTCATCTTGAGCCCCGCTCTTTATCTTCTTCTTCTCCTGCTCGCTCCTCACCAACATCTCTACCGCATCGAATCTGTACCCGGAGAACTCCGATCCAGCCGTCGGCGTCGCGATCACCAGATCTCGGCTGTCGGCAAACCCTGACGGCCACTGAGCAGCCGTCCAAATCGCCGGCGGCGAGATCGACTCCGATGATGGGGTGTCTCCGTCGGTGAAATTGGTCTTCGCCTTAGGGCCGCGAAGATTTCGTGCGGCCTCATCGTAAGCCCTGGCAGCTTCCTCAGCGGTATCGAAGGTACCCAACCATTTCCTGGTTTTCTTCCATGGATCGCGTATCTCCGCCGCGAATCTCCCCCACGGCCGCTTTCTGACACCGCGGTAGTGTCCCTCTTTTGTTCCGCCGCCGTTTCCGCCGCCTGCGGCCCCGGAAGGCGGAGCCGTCTTCTCCTCGCCGGCGGCGAATCCCCCTTTCCCAACCCGAAGAGTATCGACCGCCATCATTGGGAGACTTGAGCGAGAGAGGGGAGATAGTGGGCGAATGGAGAGAGCGGAGGCGGTTATTTATAGCAGAGCCGGTGGTCTAGCTTTCATCCGACAGGAATTTTGATTTAATTAATTGTTTCTTTTTTATGTTTAATGGTGTGGCGTGGCGTGCGTGGGAGGAGGGGATACGTGATGGACGGTTAGGATTTGTTGCGGTTACGTTGGGTTAGGATCTGCCCGTCGAAGTTTGCCTGGGCGGTACACTTTTTATTTATTGGTTTTTGTAATGAATAATTAATAGTTCCGTTTTTTACGCAAAAAAAGTTTTTTGGAAGCATGCGGCGGGAGCCCGTGATTGGCCGTGCACGTGTGAAGGGGTGTGGAGTAATTTTGTCTATTGTTGGATACGTGTGTGGGAATGGAGCTACTTTAATTTAACATCTTAATTTTGGAGTTTTCATGTTTTTTCTAAGTTATTTTTAATAATACTGAAATAATACATAAATAATTTGAAAATAACTCAGAAATAACTTCCGCCGCATGTAGAACTAAGTCAGGAGTTCGCACAGAAAATTTTTTGTTTAATTTGAGCTTGAATTAGTTAACTAAAGGAATTCTAAGCTCATTGAACAAAATAATGCATTTCAGGCAATAATTTGATTAAAAAAAGAAAAATAACAAGGGATGACTTGTGATATTATTCTGATATAACTGCTATTTGAACATTTTTAAAATTTCTTAATAGTGAATGAAAATATTTTTTAAAGATGAAGAAAATTAATGTTCTTGCCGCCACCGAATTGTTTTTTTTTTTTTTAAATTTTAAAGTGTATATGAGTAGTTGTTCGTCACGAATTGCTGGCATTCTATTTTATGTCGTGCAAAGTAATAGTTTGAAATGAATTTATCACATGATTTAGAGCTTCAAATATCATCGTTGCAATAAATACCCAGCATCAACCAAATATAATTTACCTGGTGTGAATGGAATGATTAATGTTGAAGTGCGGGGGGAGTCTCAAGTGAACCTTTGGGTGGATGTGGGTAATTGTATTTTCTATTATGTGTTGCACATTTAAAATTCAACTCATGTGTACTGCTCTTCCGACTGGCAATGATAAAAGCGAAGCGTATATTGAAGTCACATATGACCATGACATTCTGTGTCAGTGACCCACAATGACCAATGAATGTGATCTTCTTATTGTTTGGAAAACACGCATCTACATGTGTTTCATTGATTGCTCCAATACAATTCTTAGAAAGATAATGAATGGTTCCATAATTACTCATATGAAAATTGATAGGAGAAATTACCTGAAAATATGATGTACCGCACATCGTGCGAAATCTCCCTGGGATCCGTTCGAATGTACGATCTGTTGGTTTTATGACTTGTGATGAAAAATTGACAAGTGCATTCAACTCTACTGAAAAGTATCTGCAAATTTTCTCGGACTCCCAACATTGATTCATTCTGTGATAATATGTATAGGGTTATTGTCAACACCTCTCATGAAGTCGTTCTCCATTACATAGCAAGTGTCATCGTGATTCTTATTCTAAATGATTTGAGTTATTATCTGATAATTCTAAGGAACTAGCATTAGCACACCTAAAATAGGATTCTCTAAACAGCTTGTTGTTCTCGAACAGCTCGTTCTTGGCTCGTTATGTTGCTCATATTTGATTCGTTTGTTAAGCAAACGAGCTGGTGAACACAAAACATTTTGTTTGCACTTGATACATTAACGAGCCAGACATAAACATTGATTTATTCGTTCATGTAAGGCTCGTTTTAGATTGAAATAAATATATATATTATTGATGAGTATTATTTTTAAATAATCTAATTGACTACAATGCTACAAATATTAGGGTCAATTAAATTTATTAATTAAAAAATAGAATAAAAATCTATTAAATTCTATTTTAAGGGATATTTTTATATAAACAATAATATTTAAATCTAGCTCTTACCCATAACATCCTATGGCTGCATGACTAGAGCTGTTGAAATGACTTGTTATTCATGAACAACTCGTTTTCAGATTGCCAAGCAAACGAGCCGAATGCAAAAAAATTTGTTAGACTTGATATATAAACAAACCAAACACGAACTATGGCTTTTTTTAAAGAGTTGAGTATGAGCCGAGCCTGCTCGAGCTCGGCTCATTTACACCCCTATAGTCTATAACATGAAAGCCTTAAAGGTTTTACATTCTTTTTCGCCACTTCTTAAGATTACATGCTTCTAATGAATGAAATAAGTTACACCGCCCATTACAACATGTGCTTTTGCCCTTGATAACTTCTAAAAGAAAAGTTCTCATAAATCCCCATACAATTCATAACATTAGAATGCGTCACTTTTCCCACCTAAAAAGCTAAGGCACTTGAATGAGAAACAATTCATAGCTACCTGAGAGTACTCGCAACTACTCCCTGCAGGCGTAGCTTCCGAGCCGTCAGAGGAAGAAAAGTCTAATATTGATAGTAAACTTTTATGACTATTTATTGAAGAGTGGCCAAAAATTTCATTAGTGGTGGAAAGCAACATTTCAATTGTATTTGAGCAAACATGTTTTCAAACATGCCTATGTGGCAAGGCACTTGTTGCAATTCTCTTTTCCTTCTAGTTGCACTTAAGGGTAAATTACTTTCTCATTCTCTTGTTCTTGTCTGTCGGCACTATTTTTGGTGTGGGGTTTGCCCGTAAGAAGCTGTCGGTCATTGGAATTGAAATCCCGTTGCCCGCTTCGGAATGACGTTTTTAAAAATTTTTATTTTTGAAAAAGATGAAGTCAAACTGACCCCATAATTTTCATAGTTTAGCTGAAAGAGCATTTTACCTCAAATCCTGTATCTATTCCGAAGGATGAACACAAGAATTGAGGGTGAGGCTCGATCAAATAAACTAGAGAAAGTTATGACATCCGTTTGGTCTGCGAAACCAATGTATTGGCCGACAAATTCCCCTATTTAATATAAGGAATTAAATAGGGTTTATATTATGCTGGGTTCGGGAAAAGCTTCCTATAAGGGCAAGCCCCTATAATTAATTACATCTTAG